ACCGGATTCATGCCATTCTCCTGCCTCAGCCTCCCGAGTAGCTGAGACTACAGGTGACCGCCAGCACGGGTTATTTTTTTCTGTTTTTAGTAGAGACGGGGTTTCACCGTGTTAGTCAGGATGGTGTCGATCTTCCGACATCATGATACACCTGCCTCAGCCTCCCAAAGTGCTGGGATTACAGGCTTGAGCCACCGCGCCCGGCCTCTTTTTTTTTTTTTTGAGACGGAGTTCCGCTCTCGTTGCCCAAGCTGGAGTGCAATGGTGAAATCTTGGCTCACTGCAACCTCTGCCTCCCAGGTTCAAGCAATTCTCAGCCTTCTAAGTTGCTGGGATTACAGGCACCCACTACCATGCCCAGCTAATGTTTTGTATTTTTTTTCTTTTTTCTTTTTTTTTTTTTTTAGTAGAGACAGGGTTTCACCATGTTGGCCAGGCTGGTCTTGAACTCCTGACCTCAGGTGATCCACCCAACTCGGCCTCCCAAAGTGCTGGGATTACAGGTGTGAGCCACCGTGCCCGGCCATGAGGCATAATTTCTAATCATTGCTTCATTTATTCTAAATTATGGAAAAAGAGACAATAAATGATGTCTGTATCTAGAAGACTGAAGGCCTCTTCGTAATTTTTCTTTTTTTTTAATTTATGATATTGGTTAAGAGGAGTGGACTAAAGTTTTTGACTGATTGTGAAGTAATAAAGGTATTAACATCAGCACAATATATTGTTTTCTTTTTTTTTTTTTTTTTTTTTTTGAGACGCAGTCTTGCTCTGTTGCCAGGCTGGAGTGCAGTGGCACGATCTCAGCTCACTGCAACCTCCTCCACCAGGGTTCAAGTGATGCCCCTGCCTCAGCCTCCTGAGTAGCTGGGACTGTAGCTGCCTGCCATTACACCTGGTTAATTTTTTTGTATTTTAGTAGAGACGGGGTTTCACCATATTGGCCAGGATGGTCTCAACCTCCTAACCTCGTGATCTGCCTGCTTCAGCCTCCCAAAGTGCTGGGATTACAGGCGTGAGCCACCGCACCCAGTCTATTTTTTTATTTACTAAGGCACAAGGTTGTTTGTTAGAAGACGGGCTGTGAGATCTTTTATAAATAAAACTATATTCTGTGAGTGCATATAAGACTTTTATTTTTATTGTCTATAGAGGCATATGTAAGGAAAAAATTAAGAGGTAAGAATCTCATGATGGTAGAGAAGTCTTGATTTGTGATCTTGAGAAAGTTGTCCATGTCTAGGATGTTGTCTGTTTTCAGAGAAAGGGTTTGTTTGTTGGTTGGTTTTTGGTTAGTTTTTTGTTTTTGTTAGTTTTATTTAAAGTCTCTAATGGGGATATAGTTTTAAGAGTCGGTGGCTTTAAGAGCCACCAGGTGCAGTGGCTCATGCCTGTAATCCCAGCACATTGGGAGGCCGAAGTGGGTGGATCACCTGAGGTTGGGAGTTCAAGACCAGCCTGACCAACATGAAGAAACCCTGTCTCTACTAAAAATACAAAATTAGCCAGGCATGGTGGCACATGCCTCTAATCCCAGCTACTTGGGAGGCTGAGACAAGATAATTGCTTGAACCTGGGAGGTGGAGGTTGCAGTGAGCTGAGATTGCACCACTGGACTCCAGCCTGGGCAACAAGAGTGAAACTCTGTCTCGGGGAAAAAAAAAAACAAAAAAAAGAGTCTGGAAGGGCCATTCTGAGTTGTAAGATTATGAACTTAAAGTTTGAGGTCCTGAAGTTTTGTTGCAATGTGAGTGATAAGAGCAGTCTTTTTTTTTAATATCTGTAGAAGACACAATTTTGGGGTTTCGGATTAGGAAGGGTGTGATAGTTTTTAGTGGACTATGAAAAAGGTGTTTTTTTTGGTGAAAATATATTTTGGTATAGTGTACTAAAGTCTTGTAGTATTTAGTCATAATGGAGTTTAACAGTGGAAGCTATATGAAGTTTTTTTTGGTTTTTATTTTTTTCTTTTTTAAACAGAGTCTTGCTCTGTCACCCAGGCTGGAGTGCAGTGGCGCGATCTTGGCTCACTGCAAGCTCCGCCTCCCAGGTTCACGCCATTCTGCTGCCTCAGCCTCCCCGGTAGCTGGGACTACAGGTGCCTGCCACCAAGCCTGGCTAATTTTGTGTATTTTTTAGTAGAGACGGGGTTTCACCGTGTTAGCCAGGATGGTCTCGATCTCCCGACCTCATGATCCACCTGCCTCGGCTTCCCAAACTGCTGGGATTACAGGCGTGAGCCACCTTGCCCGGCCATGAAGTTTTATTATTGGAAATATAGGCTTTTCAGTTACTGTTGGTTAAGGGGCCATTAATTTTTTTTTTTTTTTTTTCAGACAAGGTCTCATTCTGTCACTGTGTTGCAATGGCGCAACATAGCTCACTGCTCAAACAATCCTGCCTCAGCCTCCCAAGTAGCTCGGACACGAAACCATGCCTCGCTATTTTCATTTTTTTTTTAAGTGATGGGGTCTCACTATGTTGCCCGAGGTGCTCTCAAACTCCTGATCTCAAGTGATCCTCTCACCTTGGCCTCTCAAAGTGATGGGATTACAGGCATGAGCCACGGTGCACGGTCATACATTTTTTAAATAAAAGGGTTTTAAAATAGTTAAATGTCAGAAAGTATATTTTGAAGACTGGTTTGGTTTGATAGGTGGTGTTTTTAACTTAGTTACTGTTTTCTAGCTAAAATTATTAAGTTTAGAGTGGAAAGGAATAGAGCAAAGAAAGTATTCTCTACGTCTGGTCTAAATATGGATAGGTCTGAAAAAAAGGGAAGTCTACTTTATCTGAGGACCTATCTTTTATGAATATTTTATTTAGGATAGTTTTTGGTTTTTTTGTTCTTTGTTTTTGTTCTCTTGCCTTTACAGTGGGATAGTTACTAAGTCAAAAAGGGTAGTAGATGTACTTTTTGTTTTTTTTTGAGAGGGGAGTTTCGCTCTTGTTGCCCAGGCTGGAGTGCAATGGCACGATCTCGGTTCACTGCAACCTCCATCTCCTGGGTTCAAGCAATTCCCCTGCCTCAGCCTCCTGAGTAGCTGGGACTGCAGGCATATGCCACCATGCTCGGCTAATTTTTTTGTATTTTAGTAGAGACGGGGTTTCACCATGTTGGCCAGGATGATCGCAATCTCCAGGATGATCCTCCTGCCCTGGCCTCCCAAAGTGCTGGGATTACACGCGCATGAGCCACTGCAGCTGCCCAAAAGATAACATCTTAACATATGTTTCTGAGTTGTTCTCAGTAAACCCAGATCCCTACCAAATAGAAAATGCTGTCCACTGGCACCTAGACCTCAGATAAGGGGGAACTGAGAACTGAATGATGACTACCATTCTTTTTTTTTTTTGAGACAGTCTCACTCTGTTGCCCAGGCTGGTGTGCAGTCATGTGATCAAGACTCACTGCAGCCTTAATCTCCGGGGCTCAGAAGATAATCACATCTCAGGCTCCCAAGTTGCTGGGACTAACAGGTGTGCAGCACCATGACTGCCTGAATTTTTTGTGTATTTTTTGTGGAGACAGAGTTTTGCCATGTTGCCGGGTTGGCTGACTGCCATTTTTTGTTCTGAATTTCTTCTTGAGGAACCTAGAGGAAGTCATGCTCACAGGCAGTTACTGGTGGAAGCGATCTAAGTTAACCAAAGTTACTGGTGGCATATCCTTATGGGTCAATAGCAAGTTCAGTCCTTGCATCCTCAGAAGAAAGAATTCGACTGGGGGGCATAAGGCAAGAAAAGAGACCAACGCAAGTTCCAGAGCAGGAATAGAAGTTTATTTAAAAAGGCCTTAGAGGTCAGACAGTGACCTCACGCCTGTATTCCCAGTGCTTTGGGACATTGAGGTGGGCAGATAACCTGAGGTCAGGAGTTTGAGACCAGCCTAACATGGAGAAACCCTGTCTCTACTAAAAATACAAAATTAGCCAGGCATGGTGGCACATGCCTGTAATCCCAGCTACTCAGGAGACTGAGGAAGGAGAATTGCTTCAACCCGAGAGGCGGAGGTTGTGGTGAGCCGAGATTGTGGCATTGCACTCTAGCCTGGGCAACAAGGGTGAAACTCAGTCTCAAAAAAAAAAAAAAAGAAAAAAGAAAAAAGCCTTAGAACGGAAAAGAAAATGCACTTGGAAAAGATCTAAGCAGGGATGTGAAGGTTAAAGACAGAAGGTCAAGTGTCCTGTTTAACTGTGATCCTAGGACTTTTATGACCTTGCCTCTTTCCCATGATTCTTCCGTTAGGGTGACCTGCCCACATGCGCAGAACCCTTCTTACCCTTGGGAAGTGAGCACACACAGTGTATTTAGGGAGTTATACACATGCCTATCTGAGGCTTTCTTCCTTTATCTGGTGGAGTATATCCAGAAGATCATACTTTGCCATTTTTGTCTTTTATTTTTTTTGAGACGGAGTCTCGCTCTGTTGCCTGGGCTGGAGTGCAGTGGCACAGTCTCGGCTCACTGCAAGCTCCACCTCCCAGGGTCATGCCATTCTCCTGCCTCAGCCTCCCGAGTAGCTGGGACTACAGGTGCCTGCCACCACACCCGGCTAATTTTTTTTTTTGTTTTAGTAGAGACAGGGTTTCACCGTGTTAGACAGGATGGTCTCGATCTCCTGACCTCGTGATCCACTTGCCTTGGCCTCCCAAAGTGCTGGAATTACAGACGTGAGCCACTGCGCCTGGCCCATTTTTGTCTCTTAATATGCATGCCCAGGAAGCTGTTTCTCCCTGGGGCCTGCATTCAATACACATTTTGATATTAACAGGTGTAGACCATCAGGAAACGGCCTCTCCCTGGTTCTGCCAAATTATCATTTTTACAGAGGCAATGAGATAATTGCTGAAACATCACCAGACATTTATAGTGGGTTGGGAGAGAACCCTCCCCTGCCTGGCTGATTCCTAACTACTGATGCAGCATTTTTTGCTCCTTAGCTCAGCTAAATCCGGGTTCTTGTCTCACAATCAGGAAGAATTAGGCACACAGACACATTGAAAGGTGAGGAGGATGGGATTTATTAAGCAAAAGGGGAGCTCTCAGCAATGCGAGAAGTCCCGCCAGCAGGCTCCCACCTCAAAGACCAGGCCACCACACATGAGCTGAAGAGGCCAGGCTCCTCTCTTGCAGAAGGCATGAATTTCTTGTGGCTCCACCCCAATCCCCCAGTGTATGTGAGCCTCCAGTCCACTGTGGGCATGCTCAGGCAAGACCCTGTGCATGTTCCCTTATCTATACAAAAACATCTGATATAAATACTTGTGGGGTAGATTATAGATTCTCTGGAGCCAGAGAGTGACATTCTTACTCACCACAAGTTACGAACCCTGTATGGGGACAGTGTAGACAACGTATGAGGCCAGTTTTCCCAAGGAGTTTTTATCGGCTCTGCAAGTCAAGCTTGATTCCTTAAAGGGAAGCACACGCTTCCATTTAAAGCCTTGGTAAAACAACCAGTTTCTCCAGTTGTGTTCTCTTGCAAAAGAAAATGGATTCTTTCTGCACTGATGCAAATAACCATATTGCCGTAAGTTAAGAATACTTACAAATAGTTTACAAATTCTGCAGAAGCCAGGCAGAGAGAAACAAATACGCTCCAAATTTTGTTCACAGGAGTTAACTTACTTGATTATTAAATGCTGTAAATAGCTCAAAATAAGTTTTCTTGACTCTGAAAAACAAAACAAGCATCAGCAATGTTTTAAGCAAAAGTAAACAAACAAAAAGATTATTTCAGTTTTCTATTAGTTCAATCTATTCCATTAACTCTTATGCTGCTTGATATTCATTAACATTTCAGCTCTTCATAAGTCCTGTACATTTTTCTTTATTCCAATGTCACAATCTCCAAAGTTATCAGAAATCTGCATTTAAGAACACCAAAGTTCTATAGCTGATTATAAAACCATCTTTTGAAGAGGATTAAAACAAGACAAGAATTGTCTGTGAATAACAAGATGTCCAGGGTAGTTAGTTAAAAACATGATTGACAGATAAATTTGGTTATCTCTGTGGTTTACAATAACTCAACATAATAACCTTAATTATCATTGATAGCATAAACACAGAACTCAGACATTAGAATTTTAGGCATCCCATACAATACAATTTTGGAACATGTATTAATATTCTTCTCTAAAATATAACCTGAAGGAGATTAAACATCATTTTGGCAATCCACATACCTAAACATGTCAAATAATCCTGTTTACCCCTCTTCTGGATGCTTCAGGGGCCCTCTGTAGCATCCAAAAGCTAGGGGTGAGGAAAGAAAATTTCAAAACTGATTTTGGGAAACCTGTTTAATAAGTCAGAGATTTAAAACACTTGAAATTATAATATACAATTCCAGATTACCATGTTATTTATTTTACCAAAATGATGACTCAATTTTTTTTTTTTTTTTTTGAGATGGAGTCTTGCTCTGTCACCCAGCCTGGGGTATGGTAGCGTGATCTTTGCTCACCACAACCTCTGCCTCCCGGGTTCAAGTGATTCTCCTGCCTTGGCCTCCTGAGTAGCTGGGACTACAGGCATGTGCCACAATATCTGGTTAATTTTTGAATTCTCAGTAGAGACAGGATTTCACTGTTAGTCAGGCTGGTCTCAAACACCTGACCTTGTGATCTGCCCACCTTGGCCTCCCAAAGTGCTGGGATTACAGGCATGAGCCACCGTGCCCGTCCCCACCCTCTCCCCCCCTTTTTTTTTTTTAAAGAGACAGGGTCTGGCTTTGTCAGTCAGGCTGGAGTGCAGTGGTGCAATCTTAGCTCACTGCAGCCTCGAACTTCTGGGTTCATGTGATATTCCTGCCTTAGCCTCAAGTAGCTGGAACTACAGATATGTACCACCACACCTGGCTAATTTGAAAAACTTTCTTTTTGTGGAGATGGGGTTTCATTATGCTGCCCAAGCTGGTCTCCAAATCCCAGATTCAAGTGATCCTCCCTCGTTGGCGTGCCAAAATGTTGTAATTACAGGCATGAGCCACTGTGCCCAGCCAAGAAGAACTTTGAAACCAAAATTTTGTGCTTCATTCCCATTTTTCTAAGGGTTAAACAAAGGCATCTTCAGGCACACAAAGCATCAAAAGGTTTACAGAGAAAGATTACCTTTGCAATAATCAGAGGAAGTCCTTCAACAATAAGATAAATCCAGGGGCCATCCTGGTATGTAGAAAAAATAAATAAACCAGTAAATACTTGTTTTGTAAATAGGATATATCCATGAATTATATCTGTAACAATTTAGAATAAAAATTCTAGTCAAGACACAAAGGGAAAGAAAAGGCCCAAAATGGGTAAACACATGCTAAGATATTCTCACTTGCAAAAATCTACAACATCTATTGGTATATCTAGTGTTTTGTTCTGTCTTTAAATTTATTTGTATTTTATATAAAATTTGCATATCAGAAATTTGCCATTTTAATCATTTTAAAATGCATGAGTCTTTTTTACTATATTTGTAATAACATGTACCTAATCTAATTCCAGAATATTTCCAACACCTGAAAAAGAACTCCCACTTCCCTCCATTTACTTGCAAACACTAATATAATTTACATGTTTACGGATTTGAATGTTCTGGATATTTCATATAAATAGAATCATGCCATCAATCTAAATAACAAAGAGAGGCTCTATAAAAGAAAAAGGTATTTATTTGGGAATAGAGCATTACAATGGGAAAACATGTACCATAGTAAACTGTATTAACATATTCAGGGAGGTAAAAGAAAACAAAAAATGTTTCAAGGCTCCCAGGTACAAGTGATTCTCCTGCCTCAGCCTCCTTAGTAGTTGGGATTATAGGCGCATGCCACCACACATGGCTGATTTTGTGTTTTCAGTAGAGATGGGGTTTCACCATGTTAGCTGGTCTGAAACTCCTGATCTTACGTGATCCACCTGCCTTGGCCCCCCAAAGTGTTGGGATTACAAGCATGAGCCACTGCACTCAACCAGAATATTTTTTAACATTAGTGATTCCATTTTGATTCTGACAATTTTCATGTTTCCCCTTTTTGATCAAGATTTTTTCTCCAACATTGTAATTGGTCAATCATCCTTTAGATTTTGATGTCTCTCAGTGGCAAGATGAAACTGTCCTATTTGTTGGCCTCATGTCATGTTGGGGAGAGGGACTGGTGACTAGGAATCAGTGTCAAAACGTTTTAGTCACATGAGAGCAATAAGGGAGGTTTGAGCAGAGTGGCTCTCAGGTTCCATGAGAGTCTGGAGTCCATTGTTAAGTTTAATTTTCTCTGTCTCATAGTATTTTGCTATCATTTCAAAGTGCTAGGCCAGAATTTTTTTTTAGGAGTTGTACTTCTTCAAAACTTTAACAAGTAACAGATACAAAGTTTAAAAATGGAAAATACACAGTATAATATGACCATTCCAGTTTGCATAATTGTTTTGAGCCATGAACCTAGGCTTAAAGACAACCAATTGAAGAAATCAAATGACCGTAGAGAATTAAGTGAGACCTATTTTAACCATGTAGCCTGTTTTCTAATTTTGAATATATCGATCTCACCTTTTTCCAAAGGAATTTATCCAGGTAAAGCATGTGGTGTTAGCAATAGCATAGACATTTTCTTACCTAACCATTGAATACTGAAGGATTTATTACATTAGTTTCTGTTAAGTACTAGCCAGAAGCTACTGGTTGTGAAACTTCAGTTAAACTATTGCTATCCTGCCAAGTGAAAAAGGTAGCATTAAGGTGGGCAAAAGTCCCATTAAGACATGGAGTCTTGGCGAGGTGCAGTGGCTCACACCTGTAATCCCAGTACTTTGGGAGGCTGAGACAGATGTATCACCTAAAGTCAGGAGTTCAAGACCAGCCTGGCCAACATGGTGAAACCCCATCTCCACTAAAAAAAAAAAAAACAAAAAAAAAATTAGCCAGGCCTGGTGGCCCACGCCTGTAATCCCAGCTACTTGGGAGGCTGAGGTAAGAGAATCATTTGAATCTGGGAGGTGGAGGTTGCAGTAAGCCAAGATTGTGCCACTGCATTCCAGCCTGAGCAACAGAGCAAGACTGTGTCTCAAAAAAAAAACAAAAAAAGATATGGGGTCTTGTTCTGATGCCTTGGAAAAACTGCCTACAGCATGAAAACATCAACTTTTGGTTTGCGGTTGGAGTATCGCTGGTAAAGACATCAGTTGGATTAATAAACATTTTGAGTAGCCCGTACATCAAGCATGAGACTAATTCCTTAAACTTCATCTAGCTTCATCTTATAGGGCTTTAGGAACAGAGCAGCTTTTGTTTTTAGTCGAGTTGTAGCCAAGTGGAAAGTAGGAAAATTCAGGCTCTAGTCCAGTCTAGAGGTGAATAATCAGAACTTGAAAACAATGCATAGGGCTATAATCTAATAACATATGTATTATAATTTTTCCTTAGAAACGTAACTTTCTTTCTCTACATTGGTCATATAGAGATCTCAGATTTTAAAAACCTCTAGAGGTTAGGAAACCCAACCAAGGCAGACTTTAGATTTTACTTACAATGTGAAGATTCTTCAACTTTCCAGGAAGTAACAATTTTTACTCACTCCTCCAAGGCTGGGAATTCTTGAAGCCAGACATTTAATGCACATTCTTAAATATGACATTTCAATCCAAGCTTTGGTAATATTGTGTCCAGAATTGGTGGGTTGTTGGTCTCACTGACTTCAAGAAGGAAGCCGTGGACCCTCAAAGTGAGTGTTACAGTTCTTAAAGATGGCGTGTCCGGAGTTTGTTCCTTCAGATGTTCAGATGCGTCTTGAGCTTCTTCCTTCTGGTGGGTTTGGGGTCTTGCTATCAGAAGTGAAGCTGCAGACCTTCGTGGTGAGTATTACAGCTCTCAAAGGCAGTGTGCGTCAGTTGTTGTTCATTCTTCCCGGTGGGCTCGTGGTCTGGCTGGCTTCAGGAGTGATGGTGCAGACCTTCGTGGTGAGTGTGACAGCCCATAAAGGTAGCCTGGAACCAAAGAGTGAGCAGCAACAAGATTTATTGCAAATAGCAAAGCATCAACGCTCCTACAACATGAAAGAAAACCCAAAGAAGTTGCCCTGCCTAGCTCCGGCAGCCTGCTTTTATTCCCTTATCTTGCCCCACCCACATCCTGCTGATTGGTCCATTTTACAGAGAGCTGATTGGTCCATTTTACAGAGAGCTGATTGGTCTGTTTTGACAAAGTGCTGATTGGTGCGTTTACAATCCTTGAGCTAGACGTAGAGTCACTGAGTCACTGAGCACTCGTTAGCTAGATACAGAGTTAACTAGATACAGAGTACCAATTGGTGTGTTTACAAACCTTGAGCTAGACACAGAGTGCTGACTGGTGCATTTACAATCCTCCCGCTAGATATAAAAGTTCTCCAAGTCCCCATCCAGTTCAGGAGCCCAGCTGGCTTCACCCAGTGGGTCCTGCACCAGGGCTGCAGGTGGAGCTGCCTGGCAGTCTCCAGCGGCGCCTGCACTTCTCAGCCCTTGGGCTGTCAATGGGACCCGGCGCCACGGAGCAGGGGCGGGCGCCCGTCGGGGAGGCTCAGGCCGCACTGCAGCCCACCGCAGGCGGGGAGCTCAGTCATGGCGGGCTGCGGGTCCCGAGCCCTGCCCCGTAGGGAGGCAGCTAAACCCTGGGAGAACTTGAGAGCAGCGCCGGCGGGCCAGCACTGCGCGGGGACCCAGCGCAACCTCCGAAGCTGCTGGCCCGGGTGCTAAGCCCCTCACTGCCCTGAGCCGGCGCCAGCTGGTCACTCCGTGTGCGGGGCCCCTCGAGCCCGCGCCCGCCGGAACTCACACTGGCCTGCGAGCGCAGCGTGCAACCCTGGTTCCCGCCCTCGCAGCCCGGGTTCCCGCCCGCGCCTCTCCCTCCACACCTCCCGGCAAGCAGAGGGAGGAGGCTCTGGCCTCAGCCAGCCCAGAGAGGGTCTCCCACGGTGCGGCGGCGGGCTGAAGGGCTGCTCAAAGCGCTGCCAGAGTGGACGCCCAGGCCGAGGAGGCACTGAGAGTGAGGGCTGCTAGCACATTGTCACCTCTCAGTATCACCAACCTATCCAGCTGTTTTCTGCTTCTAAAGAGACAAAAGGCCAGGCGTAGTGGCTCACACCTGTAATCCTAACACTTTGGGAAGCCAAAGCAGGTGGACTGCTTGAGCTCAGGGGCTTGAGACCAGTCTGGGCAACTTGGTGAAAAGCTGTCTCTACAAAAAAATACAAAAAAAAAAATAATAATAATAATAAAAAATAAGCCAGGTGTGGGGGGTGCACACCTGTAGTCCCAGCTACTTGGGAGGCTGAGGTGGGAGGATTGCTTGAACCTGGGAGGTCGAGGTTGCAGTGAGCTGAGACCATGCCACTGCACTCCAGCTTGGATGACAGAGTGAGAGACCCTGTCTCATTAAAAGAAAAAAGAAGAGAGAGAATATATTTTTGTTGAACTTATTTAAATCATATTGTCATAAATTAAAAATACTCATAAATAGGCCAGGCACGGTGACTCATGCCTGTAGTCCTAGCACTTTGGGAGGCCAAGGCGGGTGTATTGCTTGAGGTCAGGAGTTCGAGACCAGCCTGACCAACATGGTGAAACTCCGTTTCTACTAAAAATACAAAAATTAGCCGGTGTGGAGGCAGGCACCTGTAATCCCAGCTACTCAGGAGGCTGAGGCAAGAGAATCGCTTGAACATGGGAGGTGGAGGTTGCAGTGAGCCAAGATTGCCCCATCACACTCCAGACTGTATGACAAAACAAGACTGCATCTAAAAAAAAACTCATGAATTCTTTCTGAATTTTGGAGTAAACATGTACAGAGACAAAGCAAATGCTTCTACCTTTGTTCACAAAATATAGTTTACCAAATTGGGCCTAGAGCAGTAGCTCACACCTGTAATCCCAGCACTTTGGGAGGCCGAGGTGGGCAGACTGCTTGAACTTAGAAGTTCAAAACCAGCATGGGCATCATCACAAAATGCCATCTCTACAAAAGAAAAAAAAGCCAGCTGTTGTGGCCTGTGCCTGTAGTCCCAGGTACTCAGGAGACTGAGGTCAGAGGATGGCTTGAGTCCAGGAGATGGAAGTTGCAGTGAGCTGTGATTGTGCAATTGCACTCCAGCCTGAGTAACAGAGTGGGACCCTATCTCAAAAAAACTCAAACCAAACCAAAAGAAAACAAAAGTATATTTTACCAAATTGTTGTAAACTATAAATAGCTTATGAGAAAACAATGTCCTTAAATCTGGAAATCAAAACATTGAAGTAAAGAATCAACAATGTTTTAAATAAAAGTCATAAAACATTATTTAATCAATTACTTAACTTCATGTAATTAATTTTTTGTTTTGCTTGACCTTCATTAGCAATTTCATTAACCCATCAGTTTCTTTATTAGAGCTCTGAAAATTATGATTTATTCCATTGATCCTAAAATTATTAGCAATCTGTGTCCAAGAGTATTTATCCATGTCTTCTTCATGAAAAGCAATTTTGGACTATAGCTAATCACAAATGCTTTTAGAGAATAATTCAAATAATAACTGTGGATGACAAAAACTCAGAATATTTAAAGTTAAAAATCTGATGAAAGTTCTCAATTGATAAGGAAGTCGAGTTATTTTTATTACAGGTAGTATTTTATGATAACAACCAGAACTATGACAGGACCACGAGTCTTTTATAAATTTCATATAACCTTTAGATATTCACATTAATAATATCTATACAAATATAACTTTATAAAAGATGTAACATTAAAATTATGGCTGATAACATTTGGTTTCTATGAATTTATATAATTTAGAAATATATCAATAACATACCCATACATAGTATCACTTATCATTTGATAATGCCTCTCATACAATTTACCAAATAAGCCCAATCATTTATATCTCTACAAGATGAGAGATACATTTTTTTGATGCTCTCCAGGGGCCCAACTGAAAAATCTCAGAGTTAACCTCAGGTCAAAAAGACTTAATTTAGGATTTTGATTTGGTGGGCAGAGCCTACTAAAGATATCAAGAGGTTCAAAACACTTGATAAAAACAGACTCTCAGGTCACTGTAAAATAATTGTCATTCATTTAAGCAGAATGATATCAAGAATTCTCAGAAACAATACAGAAAGTTACATGGATGTAAATAGCTCAACCCCTTCAAAGCCCAGTTTTTCTAAATAATCAAAGATCTAATAAAGACAACACAGGAATTATGTTGTTAAAACATAAAATATTTGTTGTTGTTGTTCTTAGGCCAGTTACCAGAAATATATATATTTTTAATTTCTGCAGTGTGATTGCTTCTCATTATAGAAAGCCCATTTATATAAACTGGAAGTCAAACCTAATGAAATGGGTGCTTGAAATTAATCATACACAAGAAGAGCGTGTCCAGAGTTGTGAGTATATACTATATAGAGAAATATAAACAAGAAAACTGGTACCTTGAGCAGGGCAATACATGCCTGTTGGTAACAGCATGGGAAGTTTCTTGGTTACATGGAACAATTCAGACACAGCAAGAAGAGCTGTGAGTACAGAATCAAGTTATACTGAAGAAAACTTTACTTTTCTAGGCCTTTATGATAAACATTTCAACCTCAGGTCATAACAACAGAGTGAGAACCAGAAAAAAAAAAAAAAAAAAGTTGCTGAAATTGACGAAAAGTTTGAAGCAGAAAGTTATCACCCCAGCCAAGCAAAAAGATACATCTTTTATAAAGGAGAAAAAAGAAGGCAATGATGTCTGACCTGAAAATCCTGCGGAGTGAGGTACACAAAAGTTGAACTTCTGAGAGGTTTCAAATAGAAAAATTTTACCTCAAGAAATGAAATTACTATTCTGAATGAAAAATAGAGCATTTCCAACCTGAAACTAAGAAAAATAAATAGATCTCAGGAAGAAATGTGGCAGAAATAGAAACCGTCTACAGTTTTTAGAAGATGGCTGTTAAAGAAACATTTTAGAAGCAAAATCAAAACCACTAGCAATATTACTAAGAACAAATGAATACTTTAAGAAAACCTTGTGATTCTGAGGCTGGGTGTGGTGGCTTACACCTGTAATCCCAGCACTTTGGGAGGCCAAGGTAGGTGGATCACGAGGTCGGGAGTTTGAGACCAGCCTGACCAACATGGTGAAACCCCTGCTCTACTAAAAATACAAAAATTAGCCGGGCCTGGTGGCGCACACCTGTAATCCCAGCTACTTAGGAGGCTGAGGCAGGAGAATCATTTGAACCAGGGAGGCAGAGGTTGCAGTGAGCTGAGATCGAGCCACTGCAATCCAGTCTGGGTGACACAGTGAAACTCTGTCTCCAAAAAAAAAAAAAAAAAAAAAAGAAAACCTTGTTGTTCTAACACAGGAGATGAAATTTTTAAATGTTACATGAGTGGATGGGGCACAGTAGCTCATGCTTGTAATCCCAGAACTTTGGGAGGCTGAGGCGGGCAGATCACAAGGTCAGGAGTTCGAGACCAGCTTGGCCAAAATAGTGAAACCCTGTCTCTACTAAATAAAAAAAAAATTAGCCAGATGTGGTCACATGCTCCTGTAATCCCAGCTAGTCTGGAGACTGAGGCAGGAGAATCACTAGAACCCAGGAGGTGGAGGCTGTAGTGAGCCAAGATGGCACAACTGCACTCCAGCCTGGGTGACAGAGCAAGACTCCATTTCATAAATAAATAAATAAGTTTTGTATGAGTGTGTTTTC